ATCTAATACATGCCCACACAAGAGAAAAACACAATTCAATTCAAGTTGGGGGGAGGGGAAATAAGGAAGGAGGAAAGGGAAGAGGGAAGGGGATTAGTGTGCTCTCATTTAATGGCCACAATGTAAAGGTATATGGCACACCTCTTGGGTGCAGGACACAACTATAAGAGGGACGCTGCCTAAAAAATGCAAATATTGTAACCTAGTTGTTTGTCCCCTCACATTAACCTGAAATTAAAAAAAAAAAAAATTAACTCAAGATGGAACATAGACCAAAATGTAAAACCTAAAACTTCTATAAGAAAATAGAAGAAAATCTTGGTTACCTTAAATTAGGCAAGTATTTCTTACATAAGATGCAAAAAGCATGATCCATAAAAGAACCAGTTGATAAACTATATTTCATTAAAACTTAAAACTCTGGTTCTTCAAAAAATACTGTTAAGAAAACTGAAGCCAGGGTGGCACCTGTGGCTCAGTGAGTAGGGCGCCAGCCCCATATACCGAGGGTGGCAGGTTCAAACCCGGCCCCAGCCAAACTGTAACAAAAAAATAGCTGGGGGTTGTGGCAGGTGCCTGTGATCCCAGCTACTTGGGAGGCTGAAACAAAAGAATCACCTAAGCCCAAGAGCTGGAGGTTGCTGCGAGCTGTGATGCCCCAGGCACTCTACTGAGGGCGACAAAGTAAGACTCAGCCTCTTAAAAGAAAGAAAGAAAACTGAAGCCACAATATATGTGCAAAGTGTATTTCTGATAAAAGATGTGTGTCCAGAATGGGCAGAAGATTTGAAGAGATATTTTACCAAGTAATAATACAAATAGCATATAAGCATATAAAAAAGACTAAATATTATCAGCCATTAGGAAAATGCAAATTAAAACCATAGTGAGATACACAGTAAAGTTGGCAAGAATTTGGAATAAGTGGTACTCTTATGCAAATGTAAAATGGTATGGCTACTCTGAAAAATAGTGTGACAGCATCTTAAGACATTAAATACACAACATCATGAGAAAGGGGAAAAAGCAAAGCATCAAGTACATGAATGTTCACAGCTGTATTTGTAATAGAAAAAACTGGAAGTAGCCCCAATGCTCATCAACTGGCAAACGGATAGACAAACTGGTATATACATACAACGGAATATTATTCAGCAGCAAAAAGAAATGAGCTATTGGTACACACAGCAATAGAGATGACTCTCAAATGAATGCGTGGTGAAAGAAATCTGACAAGAAGAAAGAATGCATTCTGTATGATTCCATTTAAATAAATCTCTAGAAAATGCAAACTAATCTTCAGTAACAGCAAACTAGTGGTGAGGTCAGGAGTTATGGGGAGGGCATAACTAAGGAGAAGGAGACTTTTGAGGTTGATAGATGTGTTCACTATTTTGATTGTGGTGATAGTTTCACAGCTGTATGCTTTAAATATCTGGGGGGTTGTGTTGTGTTTTGAGGCAGGGTCTCTGTGGCCCAGGTTGGAGTGCAGTGGCAGATTATAGCTCTTTACAGCCTCCCAACTCCTGGGCTCAGGTGATCCTCCTGCTTCAGCCTCCCTTCAGGCATCCACTCCACCACACCTTGCTAACTTTTTTGTAGAGATGGTCACTACGTTGGCCAGGCTGGTCTCAAGAGATCCTTCAGCATCTGCCCCCCAAATTGCTGGGATTACAGGCATGAGCCACTACACCCCACCAGCTGTTTATGTTGGTTACACCTCAATAAAGCTTCCTTTTAAAAGCTTTTTACTTTTTAAAAGAAGTATCTGCACTCCCTTCTTGGGGTGGGTGAACTGAAACAAGCTGCCACCTCTCTTTCCCCTTACAGGTATATTATCCCCAAGGTTTCAAATACCCAGAGAGGGTCTTGGGCTGGGACCAGGAAGTTGTCTTCCTCTACCTCAACCATCAGTTAAGCATCCACCATTTTCTCAAACCTGTGCCTTTCCCCAGACATTTTAAGTCATAAGTCTTAATGGTCTCAAACATTCTACCAACTCCTCATTTCCTAAGATATTTCCATGGACACAGCAATACCCTGATTGTCCCCCTACCCCAGTCTCGTCCCATTTCAAGTCCTTCTCACCCTGATCCTTTAGCCACAGCGAGGACTGTACTGGTGAGCAAACTAAACAGACCCCATGCCTTTTCTAGATGGCAAAGAAGATGGAAATCCAGCTTTCTGGCAGTTCTGGGATTCATTACTGAACATCACTGATTTTAGGGCACGGTTTCTCATAGCGCGGTCCCAGGGCCAGCAGCATCCGCCTCACCTGAGCCACCTGGGTGCCCACCCCACCCCTTACAGAATCATCCACTCGGGGCATGGGGGAAGCAGTCAGTATTTTAACGAGGCCTCCAATGTATTCTAATGCGCTCCCACTCTTCTTGGGGTGAAGAAAAAACAGGACAAGAAAAAAGTTAGAAAGGAAGCACATCTGTGAATCAAATTAAGCGATGGGGGAAAGGATGGTTATTTAAAAAAAACAAAAACAAAAAACACAAAACCTAATGAAGATTTCATTACATAGTCAGAAAACATACCCTGCCCCACACAGCTTCCCCATAGATAACGGATTCCGACATTCACCTCAAGAACCGGCAGAGAGGGCAGCAAAGGATCCGTCTCTGGCCAAGCAGGTCCCCCGCTAAGGTTCTGCTAGAGGCAGCTCCACGGACGTTCATGAGTTAATCCTCGGAAACCCGCCCCGCCCCCGCCGCCAGGCGCGTGCGCGCAACAAGCCATAGAGCCGAGCGATCCTCCCGGAGGCCTAGAGCGGGCGGGGTGATGGCGGGCTCCCTGCGAGAGAACCTTGACAGCTTTCTACAGAACACGTCAAGGTACGGGTGGCGTCGGCTCACGGAAGGCCGGTCAATGCCGGGAGACCTAGCCAATAAGCGCGTCTCAGCGCCGCCAGGAACCTGTGTTCGGTTCCATGGAACGTCAAGGCCGCCCGGGTCGCTCCTGAGCACGGAGGGCTGATCAGTTCTTGGCCTAGAGTCCTGTTGGTACCCTGTCAGCATTTGCTAGGCCTTGTGTTCAATTGAGTGAACCCCAGAAATTCTAGGGGCGGGTGGAATCGCAAAGCCTAAATGAATCCACGCAAGTCAGCAGACCATACCTGGAAAGATCAGCCTGAATTTGTGTATGTTGGAAAAGGGGAAGGAAGGAAAGAAAGATCACGATGATCCAATTTTGTATAAGAAGGGCAGAGAATGACAAAATGTAACACCACTAGGACAAATTCTAAAATTCCGTCCTCTGAGTTACCTTTCCAGTTATAACTTTATGTGGTACCCTTAACCCCCAATTTTATTTAAACATCTCTAGACTTTGGAATGGGGAATGTGTCCAAGAGGAGTAATGCCTGGCTCCTAATGATGAGGAAGGAAGCTTAATGAATTCCAAGATAAAGGCACTTGGAAATTAAATGAGATTTTGGTTTTTTCCTTTCGTTCTTCTGTGTCTAGAGGATGCTTCTGGTGGCCTAATCTCAGAACTTGCATCACTAGTCTTCACAATGGTTCCCTTTGGTGGTGCCAAGTGGTGCCCAGTTGCCTCCAAATCTCACACCCTTATGTGGACAAGAAAAGTTTACAAAGGAAATGGTAATTCTCCAGTTGCTCCCTGAGATGTCCATCTGCAGCCCATGGAGATCCAGTTCAGTTATGAATCTCAAGAACACCATGTTTTGTCAGGTGAGAAGCGGTACATTGTCTCTTTCTTAGTGGTTTTGGTGGGGGCGGGTAGGATGGTGGGATGGGAGATGTCTCTCTATGCTAATACCTTCAAATGATACCAGTATTCTTCATTGTCTGCCCCTCACTGTTAGGCAGTATCTGTTTTGTGCTCTAAGCATAGTCATGTGGCTTTATTTTGAATCTTGGCAAATTATCATGCATTTCTCTATTTTTTAAGGCTTCAAAGTCCTCCATTTTTCCCTTATCAGCCTATAACCAATCTGTCAGTGTTTAGTAATTTCCTTTAAATTCTTTTCAAGTCATCTTTTTCTTCTGCAGTAGAGGCATGGTTTAAAGTTTTGGAGTCTGGCAACCTGGATCCAAATACTAGCTTTGTCACTCTCTGGCTTCCGTGAGAAGCTTTATATATTTTATGATTGTGTTTCCTCCCTGTGTAAGTATATAGTAATTCATACCTTAGAGCTTATTTTGAGAATTGTGTTTATTACTCCCCCAATAAAGTACTCCAAAACTTAGTAACCTAAAACATCGCACATGTTTAACCCATGTTACTTCTTCAGGTTAAGTCATCAACTTGAGCAGAGTTCAGTTGGGCCGTTTTTTTCTCCTGCTCTTGACTGGAATCACTCATGTAGTCATCAACTGGCTCTCCTGGGGTGGGGGTCTAAGATGGTCTCAGTAACATGTCTGACTGTTGGTGCTGGCTATGACTTGGCTCACACATCTCCAGCAGTCTGGCATGAACTTTTTCACAGGGCAGCTAGTTTCCAAAATCAGGGAGAGGGCACTCTTCTATATTTGCATTACATCTGTTAATGTCTCATTGACCAAAGCAAGTCCCATGATTAGTTCCAGAGGTTCTGTGGAAGGAGCCTGTATAATGATATAGATCCTAAGAGACAGGATTGACTGGGACCAGTACTACTATCAACATACACCCAAAAAACCTAAATGAGATCCCATATGTAAACTTGACTCAGAGCAAATTCTTTACAAATTGTTTTCACGATTTTTAATAGGATAATTTTGATTCCAACTTTGTTCAGATCTTCTGCAGGGCCTCATTTTTACATTGTGTTCTTTCTTTTTGGTTTCGGTTCTCTCGTGCCGTTTTACCTGTGAAATTTACCTTCCATTGTCCCTTTTTTCATGTAGATCTTCTACCTCTTTAGTATGGAAGCATCTTTATTTTACTTAGTTTATTTCTCCTGTTTTCAGAATTTGTCCATATTTATCTAGTCTAAGGCATCTCGCTCTCATGTTTCCTGAGAATCACTGCAGAATTGGGCCTCCTCCCTGCAGTTTTACATAAATTGGCATTCTTTGTGTTTATGTCTCATAGCGTATGTATAAAATAATATTTTTAATTATAGAATAATACAGTTACACTAAAGTCCATTCATGAAGTATAGGAAAGTATAAAACAGAAAATTTAAATAATGTAGAATTCCACCCTCTAGAAATAGTTACGACTTACATTAATGTATCCTTCAAATTATTTAACTATTAAATATTTATTGTTAATGTTTCTTTTTTTTTTTTTTGTAGTCACTTTATTGCCCTTGATAGAGTGCCATGGCATCACACAGCTCACAGCAACCTCCAACTCCTGGGCTTGGGTGATTCTCTTGCCTCAGCTTCCCCAGTAGCTGGGATTACAGATGCCCGCCACAACGCCCAGCTATTTTATTGTTGTTGTAGTTTGGCCACGCCAGTTTTGAACCCGCCATCCTCGGTATATGGGGCCGGTGCCCTACCTGCTGAGCCACAAGCACCACCCTTGATGTTTCTTTTTCTTTTTTTTTTTTTTTT